TTTTTTGCCAGGCATGGTGATGGACACCTGTAATCCCAGCACTCACGAAGCTGAGGCAGGAGGATTGTTGTGTGTTCGAGACCAGCCTGGGCTACAAAGTGAGCTCAAGGCCGGCCTGAACTGCACATTGAGACCCTGTCTCAAAAAGACAAAAAAGATATTTTTTTTTCCTTGTAGTAAATATCTTCTGAGGAAATACTTTCTTTAAAAAAATTGTGGTAAAATACACTTAACATAAAACTTAGCATCTTAACCATTTTAAAGTACAGTTCAGTGATATTAAGTACATTAACATTGTTGTGTGATCATCAGCAAAATCCATCTCCAAAACTGTCTTTTTCCTGTTGAACTGAAATTCTGTTCATTAAACAAACACTTCATTGCCCTCACCCCTCAGCCTCCGGCAGCCAGCACTCTCACATTGCGCTTAACTAAGTAGAATCATGGATTGTTTGTCTTTTGGTGACCAATTATTTCACTTAGCATCATATCCTCAAGCTTTATCCATGCTATAGCATATATTGGATTTTTTTCCCTTTTAAGGCTGAATATTCCATTGTATGTATCCAACACATTCTGTTTTTGTGCATCTGTTGTTGGGCACGTTTTGTCCTTTGTAAGTAATCCTTTTATAAATACGGGTATGCAGGTATCCCTTTGAGACCACTTTAGATTCTTTTGGGTATATAACTAAAAGAGAAATTAATGTATCACGTGGTAAATATTTTTAATTTTTAAAAAAAGCCACCATACTGTTTTACAAAGCAGCAGCACTGTTTTTCTTTCCACCCAACGGTGTACAAATGTTCCCATTTCTATGTATCCATGCTAATATTTTCTGGGCTTTTTTAAAAAAATAGTAGCCATCTAATAAGCATGAGATGCTGTCATTGTGGTTTTAATTTGCATTTCATCTGATAAGTGATACTGAGCATCTTTTCTTACATTTATTGGCCACTTATATGTCTTTGGATAAGTGTTTATTTGGATTCTTTGCACCCTTTTTTTATATTCTCACAATCCACCTTTAATTGTTTCAGTCATTTAAAAAACTTACTCAACTTGCAAAACAAAGTAAATACAAAACATTCTTAGACCTACCTTCCTAATGTAATGACTAAGCATTTAAAAAAATGTTTTACTTGGGTTTCATTGTGGCATTTTCATACAGAATATACATATGTGTGAAACTACATGGCAAGACCCTATCTCAAAGAAAAAAAAATTATTGTAATAAGACACAGTCCCAAAATCCCTCTCAGAATACTTCCCCTTGCTTTGAACATACTTATCTATTGTTCTTGCCACTTTCTGAAGCAGTTCTAGAAATCCTCTTTTGTGGGTATCATCATGAAATACGATCAAAAGTACAGTGATTGGTGCTGTCACTAGATCAAAAACAGTGAGTTAGGCATGGTGGCACACACCTGTCATCCCAGCATTTGGGAAGCTAAAGCTCAAAATTTAAAAATTTTGAGCTTCAATGTAGTATTTTCATACATGCATATAGCATGTTGTTCATATCGATCCAAAAGGATCGCCACAAGTTTAAGGCTGGCCTGGGCCACATAGTAAGACCCTGTCTCAAAAAACCACAGTGCATGCTGCTGTCTAGTGCCTTCCAACAGAAAGACAGACTCATAAAAAACAATGGTGTGTCCTTGTCCACCTTCTTCACTAGATTTGGCACTGTGCAACTTTTGACTTTTCCCCAAAGTCAAAACAATGAAGAGTAAACATACTGAATCTATTCATGACATCAGCACAACCACAGCAGTGCAACTAAAGACATTTACAAAAGAGGACTTCCAGAACTGCTTCAGAAAATGGCAAGAACAATGGGATAAGTGTGCACTTGAAGCAAGGCATTAATGGCAAAGTGCCTTTTACTATAATTAATATTTTTTAATTTAAACATGCACCTCAGGCTTCTATCATACCTCATATTAGGGAAAACATACATGTTTTTCCGAGCTTGGCTTATTTTGCTTACTATGATGATCTCTAGTTCCATCTTCATTATAAGTGTGTTTTTATTAGTACATACTAATTTTTAAAAATTTTGAGCTTCAGTGTAGTATTTTCATACATGCATATAGCATGTTGTTCATATCAATCTATTACCCTCTCTTACACCCCCTCTCTCTTCATCTTGGTTATTTTTCTCTCATTGCTGAGACAAAATACCTGACACCCAGAATTAAGGAAGGAAAGGTTTATTTAGCTCACAGTTTGTGGAGGGTTCAGTCCATACTCAGCTGGCCCCAAGGTAGAGTGGCACATGGCAGAGGAAAACAGTTCATTGAGGTGGAAAACAGCAAAAACAACTGGAGCAAAAAGGGAGGCATGCGAGAGCAAGCTTCTTTCCCTCCCTTATATTGTATGCGGGCTGCCCACCCCAGGGTGGGTGTAGCACTCATAATCCCAGCATTGGGCCATGAGTCAATCACAAACCCTAGAAGCCCGCCCTATGACTGCATGAGGCTTTGGGAGGACATCTAGACATAAATCATTAACACCTCCATTCTCTTTTGTCTGTCTCTCTTGTACTTTTATGTCATCTCTTTTTGTTGTTGGAGTCCACATACCAGGGAAAATATGTAATACTTGTCTTTCTGAGTCTTGCTTATTTCATGTGATGATGTCCACTTCCATTGATTTCCAAATGATGATTTGCAAATGATGTGATTCCATTCTTCTTTGTGGCTGAATACTCCATTGTGTATATGTATACACCACATTTTCTTTATCCGTTCTCCTGCTGATGAGCATCTAGGCTGGTTCTCAAACTCGGCTATTGTGAATTATGGTATGACAAGCATGGGAAAGCAAATCCTGTCTCTATACTAACTTTAATAATCTCTTTGGGTATATTTGAGAACTGATATACCTGGATCACATGGTAGTTCTGTTTTTTTAGTTTTTTCATTTGGTTGGGGTTTTTATTTTGTTTGTTTTGTTTTGTTGAGACAGGGTCTTGCTTTGTAGTGCAGGCTAGCCTGTAGTTCTGTTTTTTAGTTTTTTTATTTGGTTGGGGTTTTTGTTTTGTTTTATTTTGTTTTGTTGAGACAGGGTCTTGCTTTGTAGTGCAGGCTAGCCTGTAGTTCTGTTTTTTAGTTTTTTTATTTGGTTGGGGTTTTTGTTTTGTTTTATTTTGTTTTGTTGAGACAGGGTCTTGCTTTGTAGTGCAGGCTAGCCTTGAGCTTACTGTTACTTGAGTTTACCAAGATGCCCTTGAACTTAAGCTTGCAGTGATCTTCCTACCTCAGCCTCCCAAGTCCTAGGATTATAGGCATGTGCACCATGCCCAGCTACTTTTAGGTTTTTGAGGACCCTCCATACTGATTTCCATAGTGGCCATACTAATTTCCCACCAACAGTGTATAAGAATTCCTTTTTCCCCTAAATCTTCACAGGCATTTATTATTGTGTGTGTGTGCACACTCCGCTCATTTCCCCTTTTATTGATTGGATTATACCATTCTTTTGATGGTGTTTTCTGAGTTATTTTTATATTCTAGGTATTAAATCTTCTGTAAGAAGAGAAGCTGGTAAAGATTCTCTCCCATTCTGTAGACTGTCTCTAGGTTGTTCTTTTGCTGTGCAGAGGCTTTTTAATTTGATGTGATTCCATTGTCAGAGCCAGTCAGTGGTATGTTGTCTGCCTCAAGCCTGCCTTCACTCCAGCAGTTTTTATTTGTTTCATTCTGCACACGTAACTAGCCTTAACTAGTTTTGTGGCACGTGGGCCGGTTGGGTGCCCTAATCACTCTAGAGTCCCCTCTGTCCGTGTTTCCAAGTGGGTGGCAACCATCCGAGCAGAGGTGTATCTCCAAACATGTTGGCGATTGGGTGAAACAAACAGGCCACGGAGTTATGTGTGGAGGCAGGCAGCCCTGGGAGCCAGGCACTCTGTTGGCCTCAGTCCCAGCTCTTTTAGACCAAGTCCTTTCAGAAAACCACTAGCATAGCTCTTGCTTCTCATCAAGTTCAAGATTTTAAGGCTGAGGATGTAGCTCAGTGGTGGAGCACATGCCTGTCACTTGTGAGAGACCCTGGGTTTGATCTTAGCATCCCCTAAAAAAGAAGCAGCAGCAGCCAAGTGTGGTGGCACATGCCTGTATTCCCAACTACGCAGGAGGTTGAAGCAGGAGGATTGAAGTTCAAGGTCAGCTCCAGCAATTTAACAGATACTGTCTCAAATTTTAAAAGAAAAAGGAGAGGAAGGAGTTAGGGAGGTCCTTCAGTGAGAATGACTTGCCTAGTATGTGTTGGCCCTGAGTTCGAGCTCCAGTACAATACTGGAAAAAAAGAAGTTTGTTTCATTTGTATGCAGTTGTTCTTCCAAACCACCCATTCTCCATCTTTACTCTTTAAACTCGGGATATAGTCAGTACATAAGTTACTTGCAGCCATGGAGTGATTTTTTTTTTCTTTCAAGGTGATTATAATAAATCATTTGAAATACATTTGAGTTTATTCAATTTTGCTTATACTTGGTCTTAATTTTTCTACCTCTGTCCTATTAAAACTTGTTAATATGTAGAACCTTTTAAAAAATAATTTATTTAGACTACTTATGTGGTAGTACATGACTGTAATCCCAGTATTCAAGAGGCTGAGGCAGGAGGATTTCCAGGCTGAACTGCATGGTGAAACCCTGTCTCAGGAAGACAAAAAAAATAAATAAAATTTTATTGATTTATTTATTGATTTATTTTTCTGAGACAGGGGTCACACTGTGTTTATCTAGGCTTGTTGGTCTTGAACTCCCTGGGACTCAAGTGATTCTCCCACCTCAGCCACCCATAGCTGAGACTACTGCCCTGATATGTAGAACTTTAATATGTTTCTAAATGTCAAAATGATACCAAAAAATATACTGTACTTAGAATTGTTCCTCCCTTATTTCTTCCAATTAATTTCCTTCCATACTTTGAAAATAACCAATTTCTTTTTTTCTGGTTCCTGCTTCCTGTGTTTCTTTTTGCAAAAGTAAGCAGATATATGAATATTTTTATTTACTCCTTATTCCTTACACAAATGATGTCATATTGTTTGTAATCCTTTGTACTTTGCTTTGTTAATTTAATAATATGGCTTGCAAATTATTCCATAGCAGTTCTAAAAGATCTTCATTTGGTTTATAATGCCCTAAATGTTAGGGCACGCAGGTAGTTTTCAGCATTTGGCAGTAATGAATAATACTGGCATGAATAACCATGTTATTTAAATTTTAGTCTATTGATTTGACATTGAGATTGGTATTTTATTTTTGCATTCTCTCTGTGTTTTTTTTGTAAGTTGAACTTTAAATAATTGTGGTTTTAACGTTTGCCACTTTACTCTTGTCCCGTGAACAGGTAGATTTAGATGTTACATTACCTGGGGAAGGTGGAAAAGATCGACCTTTCAAGGTGTCAATCAAATTTGTCTCTCGGGTGAGTTGGCACCTACTGCATGAAGTACTGACAGGACGGACCTTGCCTGAGCCACTGGAATTAGACAAGCCAATCAGCACTAACCCTGTCCATGCCGTTGATGTGGTGCTACGACATCTGCCCTCCATGAAGTGGGTGCTTCTGGCTTTTTTTCTTCTTTAGATTTTCAGTGTGAAGGTTTTCCTTCTAAGAGTGAGTTGTACAGGCCTTCCTTGGTTAACTTTAATATGTTGTAAAGTTTGACTATTTCAGTTGAAGAAAAATAGCATACATATAAATTTATCGACAGAATTATGTTACAGAAAATTTTCTGACTTTTACAGATAAATACACATCATTGAGCTTAGCTGTTGTAATGAATTCTTTTATAGAAAATGTCTTAACACCAGGCATGGTGGCACACATCTGTAATCGCAGCACTTGAGAGGCTGAGGCAGGAGAATCATTGCAAGTTCGAGACCAACCTGGGCTACAAAGTGAGCTCAAGGCCAGCCTGAACTGTATAGTGAGACCTTGTCTCAAAAAGACAAAAAAAAGAAAGAAAAAAAAGAAAAATGTCTCACTTTTTCTCATAGAGCTATAGGTCTTAAATAGCTAATATATTTTCGGATATATTTCTATAGTTAAATCACCATGTTCTAAAAGTAGTTTTTACTGTTCAAACAATAGTGTCAAGTTATGTTGAAATTGCTCTTAATCACACTAGCATTGCCAGTGTGTACATGTATACTGGGTGTGTGTGTATATATAGTTTCCTTAAAGAAAAAAATAGTTTGTTTTGAAATATTTATAGAAATTTTTTGAATATTTATTTAGTATTTTTTAAGTTGAACTGTTAACTTTGTAAAACCTGTTTTAAGGAAGTATTTTAAATAAAACTTATTCATATATAAATTAACAATTCTGAAAATAGATAATTTTAGTGAAGGTTTTTGCTGCATTTTTTCATTTAGAATGGCTTCTTTTTACTTTCATAAATTTGGAAAATTAGTTTCATATGTTAATAACTATGGACATCATTATGATAAATTATTTATGCTATAGTCTCTATTTCTGTGCAGATTTAAATACTTATACAGGAAGGAAAGGATTGAACATGTCATTTTAATTTTTGTAGATATACACCTGTGGGGCGTTCCTTTTTCTCAGCTCCAGAAGGATATGACCACCCTCTTGGAGGGGGCAGGGAAGTATGGTTTGGATTCCATCAGTCTGTTCGACCTGCCATGTGGAAAATGATGCTTAATATTGATGGTAAGAGAACTAAAGCCATATTTGAATTGGATAGTTGATTTCTGTATGGGGTTTGTGTGTGTCTGTATCGATGTCTTGAAGTAGTATTTGGAAATACATTATGACCAACTGGAAAAATCTTTGTATTATTATTACGTTGCATTTAGGAAGACTTTATGCAGAATTTGTCATAGAACGCCACTACACGTGAAGCAAACATATGAAAACAAATACAAAAACCTTAATGTGATCATCTGAAAAATCTTTTCTTACAATTAATTCACTTTTGTGCCTTTAACTCAAAGTCAGTATTTCATTGTAAAATACATATAGTAAATAAGGAGCCAGGCATGGTGGCACATGCCTGTAATCCCAGTACGTGGGAGGCTGAAGCAGGAGGGTTGCCATGAGTTTGAAGCCAGTCTGAACTACATAGTGAGACCCTGTCTGAAAAAACCAAAAAGAAAAAAACAACCCAGAAAGAAAGAGTCTGTAAATCTGTATTGTGGTGACTCCAGACATTATGCTTGCTTCTGGTACCTAAGATGCTGCTTAATTGCATTCTTATTTTCAGGTACTGTCGTACAAATATTCTCAAGTTTACGTAAAAGTCAAGAGAACATTATAAACTATATGTGTAGCCATTATGCAGACTATCAGGATTTTTCTACCCTTGCTTATGCTATTTGCATTTTGCCCTGTACTTTAAATTTCTCAAATTAAATTCTGGACAGCATGTTACTTATCCCTACTGCTTCAGTACATACCTCAGAAAACCTGTGCATTTTCCTACACAGCAGCAATGCCATTTTTATAGGTAAGAAAACTTAAAATAATTTTTGGTACTCTCTCATACCCTCCCCATAGTCCAATTTTTCTGATTTTCTCAAGTATGTCTTTTTCTAGTTAGTTGAGTCTAATCAGAATTCAAATAAGACCCACATACCACATTTGGTTAGTATGTCTTTTCTAATCTAATAGTCATATTTCCTTCCCTCTTGTTTGTTTGGGTTTCTTTCTTTTTTATATCAGTAATTTGTTGTAGAAACTTGGTCACTTGTCCTATAAAATTATGTCCCAAGCCTGAGTTCATCTTTTTATTTTCTTGTGTCCATTACATTGTTCTTCCATCTAGTATATTTCCTTAAAATGAAAGTTAGCTCTAGAAGTTTAAATCAATTCTGGTTCAGAATACTTCCTAAGTGCTTTATATTGAAACATGCTGGGAAATACTGTATTATTCCAATCTTAGTGGTGCTAAAATTAACCTGTAGATTAATTAGAGATTATTGAACATTGTTACTCAAATCATATATTAGGGATTATCAGTTGGTAACTTTTTCAAATTCTGTTCTTTTTCTATTAGATGGAATTCTTTTGTTGTTGTTGTTGTTGTTTTGGTTTTTTTTGTTTTTCTTCCAGTACCAGAAATCAAACTCATGACCTTGAGCTTGCCAGGCAGGCACTGTGCCACTGAGCTAAATCCCCAGCTCCTTAGATAAAATTTTTATGTGGGAGAGTACAATGTTCTATTGATAATTCATTAATGTTTGATATCTTCCTTGCTTTCTGGCATAGCACAGTAGTCTGGCTCATCATGTATTTCTGCCCAGTATCTGGAATTGGCCTTCATCTTTCCACGTCAGTACATAGTTTCCTTATTTTTTTCCAGCAGCATTTGCCATTATGCAAATGAGAGCAGACATGTTTTACCAGATCCTAGAACTGTAAATTACCTGTCATTTCAGAACATTATTTCATATGTATTTAAATATATCTGTAAGATAAATTCTTGGAAGGGAGATTCATGGGTTAAGCATAAATGTGTTTGTAATTTTGATTGTTATTGCTAGATTGCCCTCCATAGAGGCCATAAATATTTTGCATCAATGAGTAGGAGTACCTTTTTTTAATGTCTTTGCCGTAGAATTGTCAAACTCTTAGATTTTTTTGTCTTTATCAAATTTGCAAGGAACAGTTTCCTTATGTGCATTTAATTTGCATCTATCTTTTCACTTATGTAAGACCTTTTGTCTCTGTTCCTTCCCTCCTTCCTTCCTTCCCTCCTTCCTTCCTTCCTACCTGCCTCTTCCCTCCTTTCCTCTTTCTCCCTTTTTTTCTTTCCTCTTTGTAGTGCTGGGTATCAAAACCAGCTCTTCTTTTACATTCTTATACTTCTAATTTTTTCCTTACCAACTTATATTGACTAATTTAGACAAAGACAGTGTTTTTGATAGTAGTGATTAGTTAGATATCCTCTTTCTTTGTTGTCATCCTCTTTTTATTCCTCACTTTAGGAGTGTTTGCAGTGTTTCTGCATTAAGTACTATGCATGCATACATCTTTGTGTAAATTATGTTAAGAAACATTTGTTGATTCCTGTTTAATTAAGTACATTTAAACAAGAGTGCTGTCTTAGTTACTTTTCTCATTAAGGAGACAAAATACCCAATACCCAAAGTTAAAAGAAGAAAGGTTGATTTCATCTTACAGTTTGTAGAGGTTTCAGTTCATAGTCAGTTGGCTCTAAGGCAGGGGTGTCATGGCAGAGGGGCATCACCGAGGAGAAACAGTTCATAGCCAGCAGAACGCAGCAAGTACCAAAGTAGTGAAGAAAGAAGCATCAAGCAATAGCAGGGGTCCACTTTCTGTCCCTTAATAGTCTATCCAGGCTACCCACCCTTAGGGCAGGCAGCTCCCATCACTTAATCTCGGCATTGCATCCTTAATCTCAGTATCACACACCCTAGACCCGGTCATCTCTGAAAAGGCCCCACAAATGACCGCATGAGCCTTTGGGAGGAGCATCTAAATACAAGCCATAATAAATGCATATTGAATGATGTTATATGCCTTTTAAGTATTTATTGAGCTAGTGATATATTTGTTTTTATTTTTTTTTAACAAACACTGAACCAAACTGCCATTCATAAATTGTTTTAATGTGATACTGCATTCTGTGTACTAAAACCCTACTTTTTAAATTAAAATCTCAAAGTAAGGTTAATCTGCAGTTTTTTGTGTGTGCAGTCTTTTTCAAGTTTTGATTTTAATACTATATTTCATTTTAAAATTCAGAATGTTTCCTTTTTCTACAGTGTACAGAAATTTTCACACAGTATTAAAATTCTCAGCCCTTAGAAGATTTGGAAAAATTTCCCTATAAAACTTTATGACCTGGTGTTTTCGTTACATTTTGTTTGGTGGGCAGTTTTTAAGACTCACTTCTTACATTCTGTGAAAATTAGTCTACCAAAGCTATCTAGGATCACTTTTATAGGTCATATTATTTACTAAAAATTACATTATCCATATTTGATATAGTTGTATAGAGTTTTACAAAGTAGTTTCTTAGTATTTTTTGAAATTTTCTCTATTTCTTTGGTTTTCTTCAGTTTCTTACTTTGCATAATTATACTTTGTTATTCTTAATTAGAGTAGTGAGTATTTAATCTACCAATTTTTTCCCCCAGCAGAAAAGCCTTTACATTTTTTTTGAAGTTCTTTTGGCTTTCTGGTTTTTGTTTTGTTTTGTCTTGTTTTGTTTTGTTTCTTTTTTGAGGCAGGGTCTTGCTATGTAGTTCAGGCTGGCCCTAAACTCACTGTGTAGCGCAGGCTGGCTTTTTTGTATTCTATCTTAATTTCTTTTTCTTTCTATTTCTTTCTTTCTTTCTTTCAGGCTGGCTTTTTTGTATTCTATCTTAATTTCTTTTTTTTTTTTTTTTTATGTTGTTGTTCCTCTCCTTTTGTTCTGTTAACTAAATTAAATTATTTTTCTAGTCTTTTAAACTATATTAATAACTTTTCATTTTTTCTTATTAGTAAAAGTATTTAAAACAGGGCCAGGTGTGGTGGCATATACCTGTAATCCCAGCACTCAGGAGGCTGAGACAGGAAGATTGCCGTGAGTTCAAGGCCAGCCTGGGTTACATAGTAAGTTTGAGGCCAGTCTGAACTACATAGCAAGATCCTGTCTCAAAAGCTAAAAATAAACAAAAAATGTATTTAAACAATGACTTCTGATCACTGTTTTAGTTTTATTACAAAGCTTTTAAAGTGTAGTATCTTATCATATACTTTCAACTCCATTTATTTCATTTCCTATGATCCACATGCTGAAAATATTTAAATTTTCAGGCTTTAATATTTAAATTTGAAGGCTTTTTAGTTGTCTGATTTTGTTTTGAACTTTTAGTTGCATGTGTTGTTAATCAGAGAATGTGGTTTGTAGTAGATTTTTTGTTTTTTGTTCGTTTTTTCTTTTCTTTTTAAAGACACTGGTGTTGTTGCCTACTTGGTTTTGAACCACTGGGCTCAAAGTGATCCTCCTACCCTAGGCTGCCAAGAAGCTGGGAACACAAGTACACATCACCCGTCTGGCTTGTGTTTCTACTTTTAGAATTTGTTGAGGTTTTTTTTTATAGACTAATGCATGATTAGTTTTTGTGATAGTTCAATACATATTTCAAAATATATTAATTTACTAGGGTAGAGTAAAATCAGTATTACCAGAACTGCCATTTTGGTCATGTTGCTTCTGCATTTATTTTCCCTCTGAGACTGGGAAAACGTTTCTGTTTCTCTATGCCCCTATAATTTTTGCTTTATGAATGTTGAATTGTATTACTTGAAGCACCTATGCTCACACTTTCTTCATTGTGAATTGTGATCTTTACAGTAATAAAGATGACTCTCTTTTTTTAACTTTATGGCCAGGTTGTACAATGAAAGAATTGTAATCTGTGGTTTTGTGAACTTTATCATGTCGTTCAATTTTGCTTTTTTTTTTTAAAAAACACTTTTTTGGGGGAGGGGTAGTGTGCTAGGGATTGAACCCAGGGCCTCGTGCATGCTAGGCAAGCACTATACCTACCACTGTGCTACATACCCAACCTTTTTTTTGATAAAACTTCCTGAAGCACATACATACCTATTTTTTGATGTTGTTTGTTTTTATTTTTATAGTGCTGGGGAATGAACCTAGAGCTTTTTGCATGATGTGCAAGCGCTGTATAACTGAG